CTAGCAGAGCAGTTTTACAAATTACTGTGGCAATGTACTGATTACAGAGTTTCTAGCAATAATTTTCAGCATGAAAATAAAGACTGTATGTATGTCCGTAAAGTAACTTTTCAGAACAATCACAAGTCAATTAAACCATATGGTTAAAACAAAACTGAACGGGCCCAAAATGCTACAAGCTATGATGTTGTGAACACAGAAGTATGATGTAGATATCATATTTGCAGGGAAGGTTTTTGTCACAGTCAGAAACTCTGATCACAGCCTATCCAACAAATGAGACCACCAGTCTAAGATGAATTTGAGGCAAATGGTGAAACACTTTCCAAATTCAGCAGACAAACTAATTGATAGAAAACAACAACAACAACAAAAAAAAAAAAACAGCCAAAGAAAAGGAAAAAATACTCCAACTTCTTATAATAGCATGACTCAATTACGGCCTAAAGACTAGCTAAAAATAACCAAAGGAATCTGCTTGTTGTCTATTACTTCATGAGTTGAGCCACCAGGATGTATAGTCTTGAGGTGAACGTACTATCATCCATGATGCCATGAGGACTGTCGAGAGAATCTGTCTACTGGCAAGACATGAACGGCTATATCAAAGTATATGGAGCTCAATGTGACATCTGTTATTGCATCAAAACAGAGTTGTAAATGAAATCAAACATGTTGAAACTAAAAATGTTTGGAATCTCTTAAATTTGAAGAACAAATACATATGTCAATTAGCCACCTACAACAGATCAGAGACCAGACCAGGCTGAACAAACTGGACCAGGTGAGGATCCAGATATCTGACTATGATTAGAAGAAATAACAAACACTTCATGCAGCTAGAATTATCATCAGTGACCCTCAATGTTAATATCATGATTTTGTGATGAAATGCTAAAGGGTGTGAGACATGAACATTCAGAGATGACTAATGTCACAGAACAAAAACACAGACACACTAGTAAAGAATAAATACGTTTCAATTATGTGATTGCAAAGCGAAGTTGAAAGAACTTTGTGAAGTTACACACCCAACAACAAATACATCATCAACATGATCAACAAAACCACCACCACCACCACCACAAACAACAACAACAACAACAACAACAACAACAACAAAAACAAAAACAACAACAACAACACATTACAATATATATGTCATGTGGCTAAAAAGAGGAATATACTAATGTTTGGATTAGCATTCACCTGAAATGTTTTGGGATGCAAACAAACAAAAATGATGTGATGAGTTCTACATGTTGGACACTGACATGGTTATGTTTCACTTTTTTTTTTTTGTACAGCTAAATAATTCACATTTTTGAAAAGAGGTTAATGCTTTGAACATATATGATTTATGAGATGCTATTAGATTAATCTAAAAAAAGGGGCATAATATTTAGTTTTTAAGTTTCAATGTTAAGCATCAAAAGTTGCATTTGAATAAAATAATGTTTATTACAGGCTAAATAGATTCCTTTGTTTAATTTGAGGACATGAAATATGATGATTTTATGTTTGAAAAAAATCTACAACTGAAAAAACAAAATATTGTGAACAAAGGCAAAGATGGAAATTACTCTAAAAGGTAATTCAGCTGACTTGAAGAAAATATTCCATGACTAATAACAATTTAGAAGTCATAAAGCTCCAGTTTTAAAATGAGATAAAGTCATGGACTGGGATAAGAGAAATCTTGACTCCAGAAAAAACAAAAAAACAAAAACAAAGGTCAAGTTTCTAAGGTGTGAAGAACATTGTTGTGATTTACATGTAGGTTATGACTTACAATTCAAACCAGCAAGAAAAGTAAATATGTGAAGACAAAATAAAAATATAATTAATTTGTTCCTACCTCAGGAGAACTGTCAGAGCTTCCAAAAACATCAGCAAACTGAGCTGGACTCTTGTTCAGAGTGTGGT